TTTTTCGATCTCAACATCAAAGCGCGTGATTAATTTTCCATTCATGTTTTTCTTTTCTACTTTTTATTTTGCGAAATCGATCGAACTTCCGAGAAGTCCGATTAGCGCTTGATGTAAAAGAAAAAGGAAAATCTAAAATTCTTTCTCTTTCCTTTATAGATTAATTTCACGTGTCCTCCCCTTGATTATAATTTGCGTCTCTAACATCCCTTACAGACATTTAATAATGGAAAGTATATAATGTGGTTAATTACTTATTTTGAATATATTAAAAACATTATTGTTCAAAATAAGTAATTTTCAGTTATTAAATTGGATTTCTGTAAGGGATCAATGTAAATGCATCGTGTTTTCGTACTTGGGGGACGCAGAAATGCGAGAGATCCCCTTATTATTCACTACTTCAACAGTCGCGGAGTCCCACATTGCATTCCTTCGCGTCGCCTTATGTAAAGAACGGAGATCCGTCGAGTTGTTCGACAAAGTATATATCCTGCGCGTTAAAGTGCAATTCTCTAATTCCATAAGAAGTATACAACAATATTATTATCCGAATAGCCTAATGGTACGTGACTTATAGTACTACTTTATTCGCTATTACATCGCTTTTTGCGTACGCTTGCATTCGCCTTCGAACGAGAGTCGTACAAATACTTGAAATACATATATGCGATTGTTTACACACGCACACATACGCACACACACACACACACACACACACACACACACACACTGACACACACAAATATCTTTCGAAATTTAAATCTGTACATTTTAAGTACTCTCGTTGAATGTTACACGCACGTACGTCAAGTTACTCCCTATGTCGCGAACTACCCACACGATATTAGTTTATAATCAGAACAAACTTTGATGAAGTTGTTTTTATTATGAGGAACAAATGGTCTCAAGAGAATCACCCCGCATATATGAAATGTATCATGTTTTACAATGCGCAGATAGGCGTTCATTTATAGTAGATCTTATGTCTCGATAAAATGTCAGAGAATACACACATTTACATATAATATATATATATATATATATGTGTATCATATATATATGTGTTTGTGTGTAAAAAGGTCAACAAAGAATATATAAATAATAAAAATTGTTTTTACAAGTAAAGTTCCTTAGGGTCTCTCTCTTCAACATTAAGTAAGAGGTCTACAAATTATTATTTTCATCTATATTTAAAATAAGAATAGCTTCGCCAATATCGCATTTTCTTACATAACAAGTAATAAAATTTATGATAAGATACGTACTACATTTGATAACAAAATTTGTAACGAGCAAATCTTTGGTGTTGCAAGATCATTAACGTGAAGTAAAATTTGTGACGAGAGGTATCTCGATTACCCGAGGGGGATCGTAGTGTTTCCAGCCGAAAGATTTGACAGATTAAATGTCGGAGACGTGGAAGGTGAACTTGAACGAGCTGATGTGTCCCGAGAGAATATTCTTTACGTCTTTCACGCACGAAGATTCACTTCGGAAAATTACTCAGAAGGTATAACCCGGAGAACATTCTCTGTTACTAATACTAATATACAGTTGGCCTGTACACTGGTACAAGATCGTCCTAATTTTTTTTTTTCACTATAAAATCAATGATCAAGATAAAACACACACACGTGTGAAGGACAATCGATTCGTTCGAACGAATTAGAATCGATATGGAGATTTCATGAATCGTCTCTAATAAGAAAGTTGAAAGACAGAAAGTAGTAATGGGGAAAATAAAAAAATATGAAAGACAGAAAGTGACAGTATCACAACAAGAATATTATAATTTTAGTAAGTAACGCAGTAATACCGCGGAGCCTCTCTATTCACAGAGGGATACTTCTTTATAAAATGATCCTTTGGAATAGAACTCGTGACCCGTTTTTCCGCACAACTATACTTATAATATTGATTACCACTCTCTAAAAGTAGTATTATAACACTTGGTATAAAAATATCAGGAGCATTAACATTCTAATAATAAAAATATTAAATGTCTCTACAGATCTAAAAGAGTAATAATCTACTACAGTAAAATTAAAATTATAAACGAGTTTTTCTCAACGCGAAACCGTTCTCGAATCTGTATAAACGGTATCGGAACAATTTCAACAACGGTATAATTAATTTTTGTAAAATATGTAACTTTGGTATAAATATTTTCAACACATTATAATCACATTATGCAGGTGTACCCTGTGATTGATATACGTCACAAATTATGAGTTCCCATAAAGCGTAGACATAAGACATACGATAAATGAACGGATTCCCATATCGCACGATGCATAACACTTTGCGTCGCGATAAGATTACTAAAAATGAAGTATGTCAATCAAGTAAACAGGTCGTACCAATACAACGATTCACATTGTATTGTCGACACGCAACGTTTGTTTTACGCAGAACATACACCTACCATAATTTATTTATATACCGCCAATGTGTGTGATGCAGACTGGAGAGTTCCTTCATATATCTATCTCAACCTTTTCTCGCGAAAAGGTCAGAGTTATTTTCTGTATCCGTGAATTTAGTAAAACGCGTAGAATTCTTCGACAAAAGGGAGCTTTTCGTGTATTTGCTAAGCCCTATATCAACAGAATCGCGAATCAGTTTCGCATATCACTTTCCAATTGAATTCCGCGTTACGCGAGAACTCTCGGCTGTGTGTTAACGCTACAACAGAATCGAAACCTAATCGTTATATCTTTTACGCATATATAAATATAAATAATATATAATATACAATAATATACAATAATATATAATATATAATATATATCAACTGTGTTATATAAATAATAACATAATTTCCATATTCACGATATACGCCGTTCTTAATGCTTCACGTATCATCGTGATAAGTTAGCCTATTATATATAGAGTTATAATTTGAACAATACATGTGTTAACACTCTCGCATGAGAATAACAAGTCGAAGAGTGACACCTCCCAACGCTTGTCGTTACGATCGATTAACATCTGCTAAATGGAAATTGTTATCGAATCGCATCTCCGTCTCATCCTTTCGGTGTGATAAAAACGTTCCACTTGGTTTCTCTTTTAATTCCTATCAAGATCATAAGTTCGCCGTAATTGACTGTCAAACGCGTTCAACATCTCTCTCGTTAACCTGTCCCTTGCTTAGTATATCTCAATCGCTTAAAGGTTGCGACATGTATCTTGCTACACCGCGCAGTCATTGCAACGATTTGGCACGAAGAAAATAAATAAGTATCTATTTCGTTTTTTTTTTTTTTTTTTCCGCTGAGTAAACTGTATAGGCCGTGCGATTATTCTTCGATCTCGTCTTAAAGGGACTATTCGTATGTATTATAGGGGTACGGGCTTCGAAAGTGAAGCGATCAACGGCGAAAGTTGCTACGCTAAAAAAAGGGGTAGATTCGTATGTCCCTATATTGTCTATTCATACTGCATACCATCAAGTCTTCGGTAGAATAAGATGATCTATGAACGCGAACTAATGAGATAATATTCAATTCATGAAATGATGGTTGTACTTTCAACGAGTTCCCGATGAAACTGGTACGTTAATGTGTGTATGTGTTAATGTGTATGTGTGAGTAAAGTGTGTGTGACTGAAGGATGAACGCGTCGTATAACAAATACCTTTTCTAGCATCATAGAGCATTTTGTACTTACTCCCTGTGCGTACACAATACTTGTTATTAAGAAATTTCGTTAAACATCGTCGCTTCTCTACATACCGGTAAACAGACGCGCTACGTTAATTTTGGTTTCGATTAACGCGCGTCTAACGGGCCCACAGGGTATTTCCCGTTACGGTGATCCGGGGATTCCCGACGGCCCGTCAATCAAAACGACACGCTAAGAAATTTAACTACTAATTGTAAGGGTGGATCGCAGCCTTCCTTTTTTTTTTTTATTTATTTTTGGCGTTTGCGTCTATCTCTCTTATCGTAGATTAATTTTATACTGACTAGAGGCATTGATACGTCTTAATTAATTTGGCGTGAAGCGTATAAGTGAAATTCACAAACAGCGTTCTCCGTTTAAGGAGAAGAAAAATTCGAAGCAATTTTACTACAAAATACACAGTAAAATGGGAGACGGTTTCTCCTTTCTGGAAAAATTTCGTGGAATACAAATACACGTGGCAGCGATGTCTCTACGGGAGGGAATTTTTATGACATATTTCCTCGTGACAATCTTTTCCCGTTTTGTCGTCCCGTACAATGCAATTTAACGTTAACGCGACTGGAACAACTGTGATTTACAAAGTCTCGTCGCTAAAAACTGAAAATTAACAACTTCGCCAGATCATATAACTATATGACGATATCATCTAACACAAAGTATTATCGATATCTTTTGTCGCGATATCTACAAAGTTGTAGATATAGGAACAAATCTAGAACCACAGATCTACGCGATGATATCTACAATGTCATAGAAAGTTTGTACACTATTACAATATGTGATAACGAGCGTGTAAAGTGATATAAGTCCAACTAATATTATACCGCGACAAACCGTATGGCTATCGCATCTTGATAGTCGCATACGTTGGTAAAGAAAATAATGTCGAAGAATATTTAATATATAAATATAAATAATCTAGCACAACATGTACACATGTATACGTTTTTACTCTATTCTTGATATATATATATATGTATATATATTAATGAAAAGTTCGTAATGCGTGTATTTCCGTGTCTAAAGACATTTAAGATTTCAGTACCCACACAGAGACGTTTCTCGTCAGTCTCGCATCTCTTTAAAAATTCATTTCTCGTACGTCTGTCAATCGAAGGAAACAGACTCTTTGGATATGATTTTCTGGGCCAAAATCAGCCGTCGAAAAGTATTGCGATATTGAAACTATATGAATAGATAAAAAGTAAAAGAAAGCTAGAAAAACAAAGAAGGCAATAGTCGGATTGAAAAAGAATTCAGAAGTAGAACTACATCTTAATCCTTTTTTTTAGTTACCATTCCTCGAGAAATGTTGCTGTCTTAAGACGACAACGAGTAATATTTGTCATGTGTGTGCAGTCACTGGTGGAAAAGACGGCGAATCTTTCTACGCACGTCTTTGTCATTTACAAATCGCAATTTAAATCACTCGTCACAACAGCGAACGAGTTAATACTCCCCGGACAACGTAAATATCCACAGAGATATCGTAAAAACGTTTTACATCCAGGCAAGATTTTTCAGGCGTGTTTCGGGCATTTTTCGCACTTATACATTACTCGTGATCTCTTCAAACATTCATGGCGTAGTATACCGTGTTTGGTGCATTGGCCGGGGCAGGTATAAGGCTGGTGTTAGGATCGACGTAAGAGTTGGACATCAGCAGGACGTGTGACGTCGAGTTCGCCGGAGCGAGAGTCGGCTGCGGAAAGTCGCGAACGGGCATGCTGGCGGCACCCTCGGGAACTCCGCGTTCCGTTACTGCGCACGTGTTAATGACGCGTGGTAATTGCATTACCGTCGCCGAAGACCCGACGACGGCTGTCACAGTCGCAGCTGACGATGATGACGCCGGACACGCGAGCGGGGTAATGTTCCCTGATACGGATTGCGCATTACCGCTACCGTAAGACGTTCCCAGAACTGATTCGCAGTTCTTGTTGCTATTAGTCATGGTGCATTTTAGGGAAGCGGTGGCAGCGGCCGACATGGACGAGGACGAAGACGACAGCGCGGACGCCGACGCCGTAGACGATGACGAGGACGATGAGGAAGACGACGAGGATGACGATGATGAAAACGATGAAGCGGCCGCGATGGAAATTGTCTGAGTTTGCACGTCCGCGGCGACGGTGACGGCGGTCGCGGTGGTACCGGCGGTAGCGACACCGCGTGCCAGGTGAGCTGGGTATAACGGATAGCCGTCCTGATTACTCGCCGGAATGCATCTCGAGGGCGCGATCACCGTGTACGAGGATGGTGATTGCTGCGTCGCTATGGGTACGCGGTACGACGTGATTTCGCCGTGATGATGCTGATGTTGATGCTGATGTTGATGCTGATGATGATGAAATTGCATGGGATGTACCGTCGAGTGAGGCACGGGGGAGAAGGCGATGTTAGGCGAGCGGAAGTCTTCAGATTGATGAGGATGTATGTGCAGGTGTAAGGCCTGCTGGGCATTCTGCAACGGCATGGAATTCGGGTTGGAGACGGATACGAGTGGTGGCGGTGGCGGAGGCGGTGGCGGGATCGGTGGTGATGTATTTAAATTGGGATGCGACGTCGCGGTACGATTCGTATTGTAATACAACGCCTGTTGCTGATTGGTCTTGTTCAGACGAGGATACGGATACCGCTCGACGTGGCTGGCGTAGTTCGGAGAAGAATGCGGCGGCAAGATGCGCTGTATGTTCTGATACGTGGGGTCCGACATGCCACTGTACGGCACAAAATACATGGTGCGATAGCATTTGGTACTGACGGCAGGCACGGTACCGCCGGGCATCACGTTGCAATGATAGTTCGCGATCGTTACCGGTGGGTTGCGACGTTGCATCTTCGACAGAGTGTTGGTGTATATCGCACCCGCAATATCGTCGCCACCGTTGGTTCCTCCGCCGCCGCCACCGCCGTTGCCACCACCACCACCACCACCACCCGCGATACGCAGCATGCGGGTGCTCGACAACTGCTGTTGCTCTTGGAAGTAGTGATGACCATTTCTGTGCTCGGCGTACAGGTGCGCGGTGCTGTCGCTGGACGGAGTTCTGACGAACTGCCGCGGTATCGCGTTCTCCAGATAAGTCGTGTGCTCGGAAATACCCTGGATATTCGCTGTTACCGCCGTGCTCTCGGCAATAGTCTGATATATGTCATCGATTTGCTTCTGCATTGTGTTTATGCGATTAATCGTGTTTGTGTCCCGCTCGAAGCTCCCTATCGTGGCGTACGCGTCTGCGGGTATGGGAATCGCTTCGTCCACTCCGTCGGCAGTCAACAAAGACTTTGCATCGATCTTGTCGCCGTTTACATCGCAATACATCGGCCATATCGAACTAGATCTCGCATCGTTGTTAGGGGCACCGGAGCTAGCTCGTGCTCGATGGATGACGTCGTTGGTAGCCTCATACTGCGTCTTGATACCCGTTACTGATGGCCGTCGATTGAACCCATAATCGTTGAGCTCGTCGTCTTCATCTTCCTCCTCATTGTCTGCCTGCGCGTCTTTGCCATCATGATTCTTGATGCCCTTACCATCATAATTCTCGGATGTATTTACGGCCTTGTCCTCGGAATGGTAGCCATTAATGAACGTGTAACGATCCTCTGGCTCGTTGTAGCGACGTTTTATTCGTTCCATCCTCGACTTGTCCTGCTCAACGAACGCGAGCAACTCGTCAGCAGTGTTATCGCCAATGTCGGGTCTACTACCTATCGGCGTGCATCTCGTTACATCCGGCTGACCGGCATACTTCCTGTCGTCACCATTCAGAACTGCTTCTATGTCTTCTAAACTGTACGACGAGTCCGAGTTGTAGCTTATCGATTCACGGTTCGAGGGTGCCAACATCCTGGAGTCATTTCGATAATAGTCGTCCTGGTTATCAGAATTGTTGACTGTAACACAGGATAGCGGTGCCAGACTCGCTAATAATTGCCTTCGCACATCCGAGTTCATCTTCGTCAACGGATTTTTGGGTTGGCACTCTTTGGCGAGGAGATTTCTCCCACCCGGGCCTATCCCGAGATCTGGTAGATTCGGTTGTATATTTTTCTTATGCGCGAATAGATCCGTGATCTTCCTGTAGGTGGACTGATTTGGTGGATTATCCGTCACCATCGGCATTCCCATCGAATTATGCCCGTGCATGTTCGTGGAAGCGCTCGCTGTCGTTGCCATCGCTGCCGCCGCCGCCGCCGCCGCTGTCGTCGTTGCCGCCGTCGCCGCCGTCAAGGAGTTCGATCTCGTCGACACCATCGTTAAAATGGCAGTGGTTTCCGTCGAGGCCACGCTCACCGGCAGCGATTCGCACGTAGGCCGTTCCTCACCCAATGGCGACGTTCGTATCGAGAGATCTCCACCGTACTTCGGGTCGCTCGCGGAATTTGTGTTGTCAGAGCTGTCGGTCGTGTCCAGGTTCTCATCGTCCTGATCGACGCACGTCAGCTGCCTGATTCGCTCCTCCAGCGATAGATTTTTTGGCCGCAGATTCTTCTTACGCGTTATCGTGTTGTACTTGCCGATCAAACTCCGCCGCAGAGTGTTCCGCTCGATAGATCTCTTGATCGAACTGGACTCGCACTCTGGCGATTCGTATGAACCACCAGGGACCGTCGACTTTTTAACCGCATCGAACAGCCGCAAACTCTCGGCGGTAATCAGAAACTTCTGCGCTTCATCCTGAGAGTGTTCCGAGCCAGTCGACGAGTTCACTTTGTTAGCCGGCACCGGCGGTGGTGAGATGAACTTCGGGTTGGGAAAGAGGTGTCTCACCGCGGAATTTGGCTTCAAGCTGTTACTAGCGAGAGACACGTTGCCCAGTTTGAAAACGAGGGACAACTCTTTCGCATCCTGCTCACGCGACTGCTCGCCTGACGTCGTTTGATCGCTGATGCGTTCCGCTTCCACCGTCGTCGCCACTCTTTTATCGTTGCCCGTCGAATTTTTGGCGTTTGCATTACCCTCCTCTGTGACATCCGTGTCGTTACACCGTGTGGTGAACTGCGCCGCGTTTTCGTGAACGATCGACATCGAGCCGCCTGTCCCGGGACAAAGCGCCGGATTAAAACCGTTATCCTTTGGAGCATCACAAACGCTTTTATCTTTATCCGTATCGGATCGTCCGAAGCAATCCTTCCGCTCCTCCTCGCTAATTTCCCGCACGATGCGTCGCTCCGTAACAGTCGTCATCGTTATTGTTTCCACGAGATAACGATGGTGCAGATCTAGGAACAGAGTTACCGTATATTTGAATCAAAACGAGAAAAATAAATGCGCCGCGAACACAATGAGATTTCGAACGCTTTCGTTTAGTGCGCGAGATAACATTTCATCGTATAAAATTTTTATCTCGGTTATTGCATGCTGTATTGAAAAAGCGCTAGTTAGATGGGTACGTGCACTTCCTCTAATTTACTCGAACTTATCGCCTTTCGCATCTTTATTTACGTCATTTTCAAAATTAATGGTCATCAATTATGTAGTTATAAATTATCTCTGTAAAGAAATACTCGCGTTCCACTTTGCATAATGCCTCATAATATTTTTTAAAGATCGCTACACGAACTAAATCAATATAATACTAATAACAATAGCTTCATTGAAGTGCAGGAGATAAAAGATATTACATATAGATAAGGTATTAGACAGCAGCATCTCAAAAGAAGAAGCATCAATGGTGCTGCTATTATAACCTCGATCCTTTATTCTTATTGCAATTAATAAAATTAAAAATGACAATAAAATCAATGATAATAATAATGATAATAACGAATACGGATACAAAAGCCACAGAAAAATATTGTAAAACAGGTTCTAAATATAAAAGTAATTAAATTTATTAATGATAAAAATATTAATGATGAATTGATATAGTTAATACAAATAGAAATAATAATAATAATAATAATGATAATGAACATTATCACAGATACCAAACTTTGCATAAATAGAAAGATCAAGAAATATTGATATATACAATTAATATACACAGATACACGATGATGTAAAAAATCATAGAATAAATAACGTAATCGGCGATTAAAGAAATTGTTAATAAACATTGGTGGGGCTTGAAAAATACAATACTTCAGATGGATAAAATATATTCACTTATAAACGAGAAGCAGCTAATCTAAAAGTACAAGCAGAGAAAGAAAAATGAATGTCAATAGGTAACGAGTTAAAGTAGTTTACAGCAAAATACAAGAAGGCAACTTGAAAGTTGTGAAGAGGATAAGAGGATAATAGTAAGCATCGAAAGCATGTAGCGTTTTCCTGCTACAGACGGTACTTGATGCAATCGAAGATATAAAATAAATATTTGCCTGCAGGGGACAAATTGTGTTTCTAAAAATAAGAGTCGCAATAAAAATACTCAAGTAATTTGAAATAAAAGAGAGATATATACCGGGATGAGATGCCCGATGTTGTTTATCCAGTTTATCTTGCGAATTTCTTTGACTACCGTCGTGCACCGTCGTGTCCTTGCTGCCCTGCGTATCCTGCTCGTTCCCACGATCCTTCGTTTGCGATTCGCATTCTGGAACATAAGAGGCAAGATCGAACTCGGTACGTCTTAGCTCACGCCTTTACGCAATTATGCGCATTATTATGACTCCATTAAGCACGCGTGTTTATTACCGCAGCCTTCAAGACAATAAGACGATATGTGAAACGTATATGCTGTATTATAACTCACTGACGATCTTTGGATAATACGAGATCCTTGCAGAATTTGTTACGCAGTGCGTTAAATCTGCCATATTAATGGCCGCGAAAAGCGAAGTCGAGGCGTCTGATACAAATGCCATTTCTTTACTGCAGTATCTCGTTAAGACCTCGCTAGAAACTTTATCTGTTATCAGGTACGTTGTGTCACGATGTCCCGGTATAGGTACGCGAAAGAGATATATGTGGTGTGCCAGAAATCGCGTACTTTCCATTGATTATTATTGAGATCGCAAGACTCTCTTCCCGGGTAGAGAAACATCTGCCTCTCTCATTTAACGGAAATTTCATCGGACGTTATTTTTCTCGTTTTGTTTTTCGATAAAACACACTCGATAATTAACGTGCGCTACTTAAGTTGCGAGTGAAAATTCTATACCGTGAAAATGTACATGAATCTAGATAATCAACTCCGAAGATCGTTCATGTAGTCTGTAAGTTAACATATAAATTCGATAATAAATAAAATCAAATAAATAAAAAATACGTATGTATATACGTATAAAAACTATACGTTCATTAATTTTTAACTGATCGGTTTTTCGTTACAAAATTCTGTGAAATTTTAGTGACAGACTAATTACGTTTCTCACAATGGATTCTAGCTGTACGAAATTTAAATTTTTTAAAATGGGAATCACTTTTTTTATTTTAATATGTGTCAAACATTTTATATTGAAATATTTATATTAAAGAAATAAATCTTTCGTTTATAATGAAGAGTTTTTAATATAATTTGACGATAAGATCGTCAATCAATAACAAGATTATATTTCTAAAGAAGAAACTTCCCATTTAAACGTTATCAAAATCGAAGAGAACAAGTTTCCTAATTAGAATAGTTACTTGTCTAACTAAGCGATGGCCATCGACGTTTAATGTAACTTTCAAAGTCGCACCGTGTGTATCGAACGATTGACAGTTCGCAATAACTTCTGCAGTTTCTAGTCTAGCATTCTATATATATACTAATGTTTTACCATATATACATCACTTACCGTGTCGCGAGAAAACGAAGCTTGTTTGCGACTTACCAGAAGGTTTGCGGTGGTAGAATATTTTATATCGCAAAATATTACGATTTCGTGTTTTTCGAAAATTGCGAGAATTAAAAAGGACGTTTTCCATTAAATATATATTTCTTCTTTGATCTTATGCTCAAGCGAGGATAATTTTGCATGGGCATAAAGTCAAAGAAGAAATATATATTTAACGGCAAAAGCCCGTATTTAACGGCAAAAGCCTGTTTTACGTATAATTTGCTTTGTATAATTTTACCACGCATTTGTGTCCATAAGCTTGGATGTGACGCGTGACTTATTAAAAAGTGTCACATTAGGAGAAGATGCATGTATTTTTCTTTCTCATTCATACGTATCGCAACCTGTTGCGAATTTAAAGTATCAACGCGAACAGTGAAGATTTTTACATCGCGAATTTTTGATGTTGGACACGTTTCGATAAATCTAATATGTACGTTGAAGGTTTGTTTCAGTTCATGCGTGAAATGTATGCGGGGGGACTATAAGTTATGTAAAATGCAATCCCTGGAAAGTACTTTAATATCTTTCATCCTTCTTTCGTTGTAAACATCGAGATTGTGTAGAACACACCTGTGCCTGGTCTAACGTGCCTCCTAGAAAATTTAGGCACGCTATTTCGTAGCAGAAAACGCAAACCGTTTGGTTAGAAATATAAGTGTTCTTACTGAGTATCTCCCGGGGAAGTACCGGAGTTACGCTAGGCCGCGCTTCCGGTGAGCGTTGATATACACGAATAAACCTATACTCTATATCTACATACGTTGGCATATCTACATACATTTTGCGTGACCGCGATTATAAATCCTGATCAGAGTTTTTAATCGGTTAATATAATTACGAATAACGGCGTTGCGTATTACAGACGTTTATAAAAATTGTTATTTGAATTATTTTCTCTCAGATAGCAATCTATGAATTGTTCCATGGTGATAAAAAATGCCGAATGCATCTTCAAAAAAAATGCGAATGTTATAAGAAAAACAGTTATGTTGTAACTATCGATTTAGAATGATTCTGAATATTTATAGATTCAGATATTTTTTCCCTTTTCAAAGCCGTCGTCTTGATGGTATTCTAAAGAATGCGCATAAAAATCCTGCTATGTTCTTAAACGGTTTACCAACCGTGGCTAGACTCATGAAAAACAATACCATTATTATATTCGCATCCTGTGTGAAGGGATATCGTGGGACTGTTTCTCGGTTATGTGTGAGAAAAGAGTTGAACAACGATGCAGTTCTTCTAATTTGCACCTTTCCATTAAAGCTGATAGATTTAACATCAGATATGTAGCATCATCATTACTTTCATCATGCCTGCTAGTGTAGCATAAAACATACGAATTATTAACATATTGTTTTTAATTATTTTATTGCAATACGCGCGCGTAATACGTTATCACGTTGCGAAATTGTTTCCCTCTCGTAAAAGTGATTTCACGTCTACGAGAATGGTTTTATAAAAAAAAAAAGTGTACAAAGATTATTATTTTTCAGATAATTGACTTTTAGAAAGAAAAATATATCTCCGATTTATCAGACAATAATTTTTATATTCGAATCCTGCTATCCAATAACATATCCATGTTTAGAAATTGAATGTCACAAAGAGACATTTTGGGAAAAATATTATATTGTATAAATAATAACGAAAATAGATTTAATACGTATACAGCAAATTGAGCACATTTATATATAAAATATAAATAATGTTATAAATATAATAATATTAAATTCCATATTCACGATAGACATAGACGAAAAGTTTGTTCAAACTCGAAAATTTTCACTTTGATTTTCCACGATAAGAGTAATTTTTTACAGTATTCGATAAAAGTGGGCTAATAAAATTCTTCCAAACGAATTTCTCTGTAAAGAGTTCAGATATTGTCAATAGAAATCGCGAAACGTTGTTCAAATAGAAATTATAGTGTATAAACTATCCAGTGAAGAGCGAATAATTTCTGCCGTGCGCGTTTTTGAGGAAAATATTTATAATATAAGAATCGCGCGGGATAAAAAAAAAAAGGAAGAGACAACACATGCAGTCTTATATCCGTTATGATTTGATACCGCAAAGTGATTAATGTTGCGAGTGTTTTAAATGAATATTTTACACGGTTGTTAGACGATAATAACGGACCGCATTAGATTTTCTTTCCTTCTCTAATCAGCAAGGTGGTGGGTATCAAAGTTTTCTGGATGTTGAAGTTTCAAATGTACGCTACGGTTTACGTTGTGTTAAGCTTTTGTGTTATGCGACTTGCTCTCGTTGCAGAATATGACGAAACTGTGCACTTCCTTAACAAGAAGAATATTTGTACAGCTCTTTGGTGCTGCTTTAAATTTATGTAGAGAGAACTCGTATTCATACTTCTCGTATTTTTAATATAATATTTTTAAGTCGTTACCTTTATATATTATATATACAATGATGTTTACTATATATTATTATTAGTATTATTATTCTTCTTCATATAACACGAAGAAAGTTTTTAAATTATTTTGTAAAAATTAAATGTGGCTTAATTAACCAACGATATTTTTACTAAAACATATTCTTATTTAATTATAGAAGAGATTATGCCTTGATCTTCAATTATATCTAAATGAGAATCTGGGAGTTGAAGAGATCTGCTGTTTGCGAGCAAAGTTAATTCCCTACTGAAGGAATATTTATAGATATATATGAAGCGCTTCGTTACATCCAAAATCCTCAAGGCAAAAAGTGCAATATTCAGGTAAAGCAATTTCCGCATTGCCCAACAATAATCGCTCCTAATAAACAAAAAATTGACTTTTCTCCTTCAATACGTTATTGAGGGTCGTATTTGATAAATCACGATTCAGAATCGATATAAGCATATAATCGTCTACGGAAAAGATGTCTTTCCAAGAAAATATTTTAATTCTGTGTTACGTATACAAAAGACTTCTTCTTTTCCTTTCGAATTCTCGTAGTACTAGAAAATTGCATATTTAATCAATTTCCGCAATCCACCCATCTATAATTGCTCCTAATAAAAAGAGCCTTTTCCTTCGATATATTATTGAAAGTATTATTGAAGGTTGCTTCTGGATAATCGACAGGCAAATTACAACTTAGAATCAATACAAGCATAATGGTCTGCGTATAGGAATAAAAAAAAAAAAAAGAAACGTCGCTGTAAGAAGGTATTTTAATTTCGTAGAGTGCCATCTTTGTTCCTCGCGTACGTCGGGAGAGTCGAAGCGAAGAAATGGGTATGTATTACGGGAAGACGTTACGCGGAAGTTACCGTCTTCCGTCACTGGAGGTATAATATTAAATCGAGAAAATAACTAAATTATGTAACAAAACGCACACAAGTATATATAAGTGTCCGGGCTTACCCGGTGCCTGTTGCTGATAGTAATTGCACTCCGTGCACGTTGCGGACGACGCGCGGCCACGCTGCGGCGGATCCGTCTCGTTGGCGATCTCGCTGTCGGAGCACACGTCTTTGTAACCTTCCGGCGGGCTGAGTGTTTCCTGCTGCTGCTGATCGTGCCGCGGCGGCGGCGGCGGCGGCGGCGGCGCCGGAACCACGGTTCCGTTCTCCTCCTGGGAATCCGCGGCGGCGGCGGCGGTCTCCTTCGTCCGGCGTCCTTTCGTCGCCGCGTCCTCCGCGTCCGCTCGGTCGTTCTTCGCGACGTCCTTCCCTTCCAGGGACGACGACGTGGAAGCCGCTGCCGCCGCCGCCGACACTACCTTCTCCACCTTCCCGTCGACGTTCTCCTCCTCATCCTCCTCCTCCTCCTCCTCCCCCCGCTCCTCCTCCTCGTCCTCTTCCTCCTCGCCGTCGTCGGCTTCCTCCTCGTCCTCCTCCTCGTCCTCCTCCGCCGCCGCTTGCGTGTCCTGCTCACGAGCTGCCTGCTGACTCTTTCCGCGGGTCCCTCCGCCACCGCCGCCGCCGCCGCCGCTGCCGCGATGATCCCGCACGGCGTTTTCGCAGAGCGCCTGCTCTACACCCCTGGGCATCTCGCCGTATCTGCCGTTATTGCCGGTGCCGGCGCCGATACCGAGGTGCAGGTTCAATTCCGCCCGGCACTCCTTACAATTGCCAAGCCGCATGAACTCGTGCTCCTGGTAGCAGCAGTCGCAGTCCTCCTCGTAATCGGCGCAGCACTCCTCCTTGATCAGTATAATGTAGTCCGCGGCGAAGAACTCGTTCAGCTTCTCGTTGATCACTACCCGGTGCTTCTGCGACTTCGCCTTGGTCTGGCCCGGTTTCTTCAGCAGCGACTTGAGCGTCTTCGCCGCCGGTTCCGCCGGATGCTGTTTGTTGCCGTGCTCCTTCATCGTCGGGGCTTCTTTCCGCTTTCTCTTTCCCTCGCTCGCTCTTCTCATGCGCGTTTTCTCTCTCTCTCTCTCCCTTTTCACTCTCTCTCTCCTTTGCCCTCAGTGTCATTCACTTATACCGGCACGTTGTACATCCTTTCATTGTACACGCTCCTCCCATAAAGTCCTTACAGGTCTCGCCCTTTAGAGGACAATAGTAGTACATCAGTGAACGCGCTTTCCTTTTTCCTTTTCTCTCTCTCTCTCTCTCTCTCTCTCTCTCTTTGCCTTGTCGTCCTTACCACCGCCACCTGTGCTGCGGCTTCCTACCTATCGCTCGCGTTCCCACGGCGGCGACGCGCGTTGTTACACACTTTCTTGCGCGCGGCCAACGATATTCCACCTGTCTACACGCCGCCGTTATCGTTCATCGTCGTCCGACAACCCCGTCGTTGTTCGCATCGGCCATCGACACGCATGGATCGGCGGCCGACGTTAAGTCATCATGCCGATGTGCGGCCGCAACATCCCTCCCTCAGCGACGTGCAGGCGGTGATCGATGAACCCCCTCGGAGATCACATGCTTTTGATCACTCGGCTGGCCTCTCTCTCTCTCCCCCCCGCGACGACTGATCACCAGCAAGCTATCAATTCTCGACCACCACGGTCGTCGTCGTCGTCGAGGTGCACGTGGCGATCCTCTTGGAGCGAACGCGACGCGCTTTCGCGTCTCGCGTTGCGTGCGCGAGGAAGTCAGTCCGGCGAAGGCCGTGCGCCTATCGATCGAGCCATGCTGGAGCTTTTCTTCTCATCTCGCGCGAATACAATCGTCCCGCTCTTCTATAACCGCCGACGTTCTCCGACGACGCGTCGCGGACCGTCGCGGGTCCTCTCGGCACGAGAGGAGAACGGCCGGGCCCGCGTCCGCGGAAGATCCCCGCGATTTTACCTTGGCAGGGTCTCAAGGTTACTATGATACGTCGCGGCGCGATCACGGTGGTCCATTGAGATCGAGACGCGATAACGATTCCCGACGATTCTCGGCAGAGAGAGAAAGAGAGAGTGGATCCTTGAATTTCCGCTAAACGGATTTCGCGGCGGCGAAGCGGAACGTCGCGCGCGAGGATTCCCGACTAGTCGAGTCCATACCGCGCGCGGTCGCCGCGTTTCACTCGCGTTTCCTGCAATTATCCCCGAACGCCTCTATTTTCTCTCTCTCTCTCCTTCTTGCTGCTCTCTCGCTCTCTCTCTCTCGTCTCGCCCTCGAGTCCTCGTTTTTAGCACCTTTCACGACGCGAATTGTAACGTGCGCGCGTAAGCGACCGCCTCTCTCTCTCGCTCTCTCTCTCTCTCTCTCTCTCCCTTTCGCGACGTCCCCGTTTATCGATTTCGCGTGACGAATGCCGAGGAAGACCACCGACGCACGCGACACGACTCCACGATCGGTCCGTCGCTGCCCGCGACCGCCGTTGTACTACTGCCTTACGAAGCCGATCACTCTCCGCGAGCGGGCTTCCCTCCACCGCTGAAGAAAATTTACGCTCGGGAGTAACGTGAGTTCATCGGTGGGACGGCCGCACGCGACCGTGCTCGCGTTTCTTTTGCCGTCGTCGTCGTCGTCGTCGTCCTCGAGGTTGCTCTCGAGCCA